GACACTACAGTCAGAATTTTTAGGAAAAAAGTCAGAATTCTGAGGAAAAAAAATTAGAATTCTGAGATTGGAGTCAGAATTCTGAGAAAAAAAGTCAGAATTCGGAGATTAAAGTCAGAATACTGACACTACAGTCAGAATTTTTAGGAAAAAAGTCAGAATTCTGAGATTAAAATCAAAACTCTGAAAATAAAGTCTGATTTACAGGGTAAAAGGGATTCTGAATAAGGAAGGCTATCCCTCTATTTTGCAACGCCCTGCCATACCCAGTGGACAGCGCTTGATTGGAGCCAATTTCATCCCACAACAGGACAATGACCCTAAACACACCTCCAAATTGTGCAAGAACTATTTAGAGCAGAAGCAGGCAACTGGTATTCTGTACTGGAGTGCCCAGCGCAGTCATCAGATCTGAACCCCATTGACCTGTTGTGGGAGCAGCTTGAAAGTATGGTATGCAAGAAATGCCCATCCAACCAATCCAACTTGCTGGAGCTGCTTCTGGAAGCGTGGGGTGCAATTTCTCCAGATGACCTCAACAAATTAACAGCTAGAATGCCAAAGGTCTGCAATGCTGTAATTGCAGCAAATGGAGGATTCTTTGACGAAAGCAAAGTTTGATGTAAAAAAAAAATCACTATATTTGCACCATAAAAAAAGTATATAAAACCCTCACTTTTCTATTTTGTATCACCCTTAAGTGCATTTGTTTATCATAAAAAAAGGAAAAACTAAATCATATCAAGACCGTTTCAGGGTCAAACAGCACATCTTGGATTTTTCTTATTTTATCCATGTACTCTGGTTTATCTTCCTCTTAAACTGGTACTTAAAGTTACAAAGATGTATTTTTTTTTATTTCTGCTCTTCAAAAAGGAAAAGACAAGAGCACATGGAATTTAAATGAGTTAGATGTGTGCCGAATATCCAACCTCAGATTTAAAAGGTTTGTTGCAGTTTTCTGTGAGAACAACAGCAATAAAAAGGGGAATACATTTTAGAGCTGCCATAAACTGTGGAGGGCATACTATAATTTTATTAGCAATCTTAGCTATTCAGGGAGTTAAGGACATTTTCTTCCAAAACGTGTGGTATCTTACATCAATTTGGTTTTTAACCCTTTAACTGCCTTGTCAACTTCCAACCTACCTTTCACTTAGCAAATCAACCATTTTGTGCACCAGGCAGTTAAAGGGTTAATATAAATGTTCTGCTGAGACTCCATCCAGCCCAGTGGCTTTATTGTTAGATAATTTGGAAATAGCTTTATGAACCTCATAAGGCAGGATTTCATCTATATGGTCAACATTATTTACAGAGCATGGTTCACTATGGATACAATTAAATAATCTGCTNAGTCAGAATTCTGAGAAAAAAAAGTCAGAATTCGGAGATTAAAGTCAGAATACTGACACTACAGTCGGAATTTTTAGGAAAAAAAGTCAGAATTCTGAGATCAAAGTCCGATTTCCAAGATTTAAGTCAGAATTCTGAATTTTTTTCACTACTTCGTGTGTACAGGAACAAAAAGTCAGAATTCTGACATTAAAGTCAGATTTCCAAGATTTAAGTTAGAATTCTGAATTTTTTCCCATATTAAACTGAAAATAATACTTACAAATCAGTTAACTTTTTCAATTTTTTTCAGTGGCCCTAATCCTCTTCCGTAGCTGTGTGAGGGAGAGGTTCCAAAACGTTTCAGCTTCTAATGCTCCTGTGGTCAACTAATGACCCAATTCTACAAAATGAATTAACCATGGATGTAATAATAATAATAATCCAGCCTCAACAATCTGAGTCTTTGGGTTGGTGCAATTTTAAGTGATGCCTTTATATTGTTATGCATTTTATCATAAATGTTTGGTTTTGGGGGATTAGTTTTACACTATTGTTGCAGAAAAAAATAAATATTGTAAAAATGCCATGCAATTCAAAAGTTAACCTTGCTTTTTCTTCATATCATATTTTTTTTACATTTCTTCAATTCAATTCAGTTCATTTATACAGCGCCAAATACAATACAGGTCATCTCAAGGCACTTTACGGTTTAAACTATTTTTTCAAAATTTTTTATATTTCCTTTTTCAGATTGAGTTTTAAACATTTCATTCTTTTAAAAATAGCGTTTTACAGATCGCATTCTCTTCACATCAAATACTTGTCCTTGACAAATGAAATGTTGTTGCAAGCCTCCATGCAGACCAATAGAAATGTGTCTTTGCTCCTCACTCCTGAGGAGAGTCTGACCACAGAAGAGAATGTGGTCTATAAAGCGCAATTTGAAAAGACTGTTATACATAAAACTAAATCTTGAAAAAATTTGGAAGAACAGAAATGTTTCTTATAAAACCCTTTTTTCTGATTATGAAATTTTACAAAGTTTTAACTTCTGGATTGCATTTCTTTCTGAAATGACCATTTACAAAATGTACTCTTTTCTTTTAACAATAATAGGCCATATATATATATATATATATATATATATATATATATACACACACACACACACACACACACACACTACCCGTTCAAAATTTTGGGGTCACATTGAAATGTCCTTATTTTTGAAGGAAAAGCACTGTACTTTTCAAAGAAGATAACTACTCTAAACTTTAAAGAAATCCACTCTATACATTGCTAATGTGGTAAATGACTATTGTAGCAGCAAATGTCTGGTTTTTGGTGCAATATCTACATAGGTGTATAGAGGCCCATTTCCAGCAACTATCACACCAGTGTTCTAATGGTACAATGTGTTTGCTCATTGGCTCAGAAGGCTAATTCATGATTAGAAGACCCTTGTGCACTCATGTTCACACATCTGAAAACAGTTTAGCTCGTTACAGAAGCTACAAAACTGACCTTTCTTTGAG